GCTTCATAGATCTGACCCATTTCACGGAAGAAGTGTTCAGTCCCCAGTGAGCTGTTGGAAATTTGTCTGTCAATTTCTTTGATCTCCTCTTTGTTCTCAGAGTTCTTGCATTTTTCTTTGTATTTCTCCTGAAGTTCAGACAGTTTTACACGAGACATGTTATCCAGGTTCATTTGCATCCATTTCAAGAAATAACACCTCTCTGTTCCTGGCCTTGATATTGCATTAATGAAGCATGTCATAGCTGTCGACATGTCATAAGAGTTCTGCCTTTTCTGTATTCCTTGTTCCTTTAGCTGAAGTTCAGTTCTGTAATCTTCTATCTCTTTAGGAGCAACATTTTGAAGTTGAAATTCTTCATTTTTTAAGCAGGTCAGTTCTTTCCACATTTGGTCATGCCAGAGAAGCTGATCTTCTTGGTACTTAAGGATGTCTTGAATTTCTGCAGTGATGGCCTCTGCGTTTGTCTTTGCAGTCTGACACTCTGGAGAGTCTTCATCAACCAGGATTCCCAGTTCACGGGAAATGTCTGCCATCTGCTCTATTGTCATCTGCACCTTTGAGTTCTCAACTACTTTTCGGATTTTCTTTCTCACTTTGTTTATAAAGTTTGCATCATTTTTGTGTTTTGTTTTAATAATGATGTTGTTGTTAGTCAAACCCATTTCAGTAGCTACTTTTTTCAGTGCATCTTCGCTGCTTTTTCTATCACAGTTACCTACCAAGTAAATCTGCGCTTTGCAGTGTTGGTTGGTAAGTAGACTGCACTCAGCGTCCAAATGGTCAAAGAACACAAAAACTGCTGCAGATGTCTGACACAGAAAGGAGTATTGTGTTTGAAAGCTTGCAATGTCCCCACGAAGGTTTGCTACAGCCACTGGTTGACTGAAAATATCAATGTTTGTGTTTCCACAAGGAAGATACCAAGTAATTTCAGTCAGTCCGTTGGATATTCTTCTTGGACTGTTGCCACATTCCATGTTGTGGTGAACAAAGGTGTCATGGTACTGCTGAGAATTGCTCAGAAGCTTATTGAGAATCTCTGACTTGGATAAGGAGCACTCACCCAGTCTGACAAAAGAGATCATTGGAAGTTCAGAGAGAACAATTCTGTCTTCAATGAAGCCCATGGACTCTGACAGAGACTGAGGTCTGTACTTTTTAACAATGTCTCTCATGGCCCACAGCATGAGTGTGCACTGTTTTGTGTCACAATTTGGAAGCAGCAGAGGAACAGAGAACTGACACATGGACATTTTTAGTGCCATTTCCTGCTGCACAAGACCATCAGAACACAGAAAGAGAGCAGTGATTATGTCGAGTGGGTTTAGCATGTCATCTGTGTTTGGACTCTCAAACAGATCATCAAAATCTAAGTCTGTACTTGCTGATTTATCATCACACTTTGGAACTTCAAGTCCAAAACTAGGATTAGCGTCTTTGCTCCCGTCATCATCAGTATTCCTCGCCGTAGCATCAAACATCAGCAGTTTCTTAAGAACATGCCATGGAACATCAGCTTTACATTTGGAAGGTCCAACAGTAATGGTCTTCTTATTAATCTCACGGACTTGGCTGAGTGATAGCTTCTCTCCGTAGTACTGCTCCAAGCCCACATCCTCCAACAAGCTTTCCAGTTGTTTCCCTGTGAATATAATTATGTTTGTTATTTCTAACCCAATGATGTCATTAAATGAAGATTTCACACAATATTAAACAAAGCAGGGTAAAATAGTTTTATTTATTGCATTCTTTTATAAATTTATGCTTTAAATATTTCATCATTTAGTTTTAATTTCAAATTGGTTTAAATTATTCAGACAGATTTTTTTTAAAATTGTTATTATTATTAGCTTCAATGTTATCTTTTTTTCTTGTTTTGTTTTATAATATAAGCAGGGATATGTATCATTCCAGTTAGTTTTAATATTCTTTTTCCTGAAGTATCTGGTAATCCATTCTACAAGTATATAGATCACATGGAGATTGCATTAAAGTGGACATGAGACACTACATGTGTAAAGGCTAATTTACTCCATGTAGCCCCGACTTCTCAAAAACCTGTGTCAGTACAGAATGTTACATCACCAAGTTGGCTGGTTGGTTGTGGTAAATAGACTTGCATTAGTTATTCACCGGACTGGCAGTCACTGAACCAACAAGCTAAAGTCAGAAATTAAGAAGATTCAGAGAAAGAGATGCCACACTTTGTAAGAGACATTCTTTTCCCTTACACCGTCTCACTGAGTGTCATCTTATTTCATATTAAAAGCCTAAATGGAAGTCAAAGGGAGATTTTTTGTTTCTCCTGAGGACATGCAGATTGATGTTAGGATTTCTGATCATGCTTCCGTAACAAGCAACGAGCCAGACACCCCATACTCTCGAAGCACCTACTAGGTCTGGGCCACATTATACTGTTCACGGTAATACTGGTCTAATGTTAGGCAACGTTAAGAAAATGAAATATTGCGATAGAATATGGGTAAAACGTGCATGCACAGTGCCTTTGTTTTCATACGCATGTGGCGGAAAAAGCATGGCAGCGACGGAGAATGAGAAGGGCAAAAGCGGATCGTTGAATAAAACAGATGAACCAGAATTCAGGGCTTGCAAAATCGCTAGCCCGACGTCCCGGGGCTAGCGATTTTTCCAGTCGGGCTACCAAAATCTATCTCT